CTGATCCAGCTTTCAGTGGCTGTGAGCATGGGGCTGGCCTAGAGGTGCTGCTGATGGGGGGGCTTTCTTCTGTTACGTGGTTCAGGATCGAGTCCCTGCTATTCCCCACTGACTTCAGTAACAGCTCATGCTGTCAAGGGCAGGTCAGAGCCCAGCTTGAACTCTGCAGGGTTGCAGGATATGTGTGGCTTCAAAATGATTGTAGTACATGTCCTAATTATTCATTTTTCATTTTATCTCTTCCTCAAGGTGGCTGTGGACAGAAGCAGGTGCTCAATCAGATCTTGAGAGCTCTCTGGGGATTGGAGGCTTTGGGTATCCAGCAATGGCAGCTGTTAATGCTCGGAAGATGAAATTTGCCCTTCTGAAAGGATCGTTCAGTGAGCAAGGGATTAATGAGTTTCTCAGGTATGTAATCTTTAAGTGACTTAAATCTTTTTGTAACCAGGGCTGTGACTCTTTAGACCAAAATGAGGTTCTCCTGGATCAGAGGGGACTTGCACAGTTAAGAGAGTTGGGATGATAAGCATTCACTGGAGTAAGGGAATGATTTCAGTCGTGATTGCAACTAATTAAGCAGTTGCTCCCTTTTTGTGGTGGACAGAATTAAGAAGTTGGCTGTTTAGACTTCAATGGTAGTTTTAGCACAAGTTTTGAAAACAGAGGGGAGCCTTCATCTTGAAAAATTCTGGTTCTCTGGTAACCCAAGAAATTAATGGCACTTGATAAGCAATACTACTTAACTCAAATGGTGCATTCTGATTAGTAATTGGGAAGTTCCCAGCTTGGGAATATAAATGGGTGCTATTGAGGTTCTGTATGTTGCTGTTTGTCTTTCTGGTTCGATCTGGTCCTGTCCTTCCCCCGCCCCTTCCCTGTTCCCCCAGCATCTGATTAAAGTAATTGGAGGAGCCAAAGCAATCCATCCAAAAAGTCAATAGATCTCTGCTCGGCTCAAGTTCCCTGAAACTGCCTCTTGTGTAGCTGGGAAAGAGCCAGTGCTGAGAAGAATTGGATGGGGAGAAGAAATGGAGGGGAGGACAGAAGGTGGCAGCAGCACTGAAACAGAGCGGCTAAACTTAAACTGTTACTTAAGCATGGTCAAAGTGAAGTGGAAACTCTGCTTCTGGGTGAAACACCAGCTGCCATAGGGTATGTAAGAGCCTTTGGGAACTTACATTAGCAGTGTTATTTCCATGTCTCTGCTTGGAGAATGGCAGTCAAGGACAGTCAAAATTGCAAAAGCAAATACAACAGTCTCTCCTCACCTTGCCGTAAGAAGCACATTAATTGAACTCTGTTCCTGCTGGATTAATGGAGACAGTGTGATATTCTCTTACCTGTGTAAGTGATCAGGCTTTCTTCTTAATGCCAAAAAGGAACGTTCTCAGAGCATCAAATGAAATTTAGGATTCAGATGCAAGAAGAGTAATACCAGTTTGTACTAATGCATGTGAGAGAAAAGTCTGCCTTTCTCAGACATGGCAAATTCTGTTAGTCTATAAAATCCATCTTAGCGAAGCTTCTCCTGGTGAGGGTGGATGGTGCTTCCAGGACACAGCAGCCAACTTAGCAGCTTATATTGCATTAGATAATTGGTTTGGCATTGTCTTACTACAGAGCAATACTTCCTAGAATAATCTTTTACTTGACACTTCAGCTCAGCTGTGCTGCCTAGAGAAAGCAGTACAATCACAGTTGGTGTAGCTGGCTGTTACGTTGGCTTCCTGTGTGCAGCTTTTGTAATCTAATAGGTAGTCTCAACAGTGACCAACAGTAATGAGATTGGCACTGAGAAGAGCATAAAAATTGTAGATTCCACCTGGGGACAAATGCTTGTGCAGTCTTATTTGCCTCTGAAAGAACACAAAGGGATTAACTCGTTGGGATTTTAATGTGTTAGGCTTTTCGAGCAAGCCTAACTAGCAAGTGCAAGATGGAGTGTCTCAAAGCAGAAGCTGGTTACCTCGTACCCACTGTAACCTGTGGAGACTTAGTGTCCACTAAAAAAAGATCACTAGTGATTTCAAGTAACAGTTGCAGGTGACTTCCAAAACTAGAATTAAAGACTCCTCTTGGAGATGCCTTAAGTGATACACAGCGCCTTTAGCACTATGTTGTTTTTGTCCATGTTTGTTGTGCTGCTGACATATGAAATGGCGTAGCTCACACAGTTTGTCTCTTTGGATCCAATTGTAAATTTGCAACACTGCTTTAAGGGCTCTACCATTGTCTGCTTCTCAATTTGAAAATCTTTTGCTTCCAGCCAGTTTAAATTTGCTTCAAGAGACAAGATCTTAAAGTTGACTTCCTTTTATCTGAAGCAGGCACTGTTCCAGGTGGATGGAGACCAGAGAAATTTCTTAAATTTAACTTTTATTTGTTTTTTCTCAGGGAACTATCTGTCGGTCGTGGTTCTACAGCACCAGTGGGTGGTGGAGCTTTCCCTAAAATTCATTTAGTTGAACCTTGGGATGGCAAAGATGGTGAGGTAAGAGGTGCTCCATCTCTAAAAGTGCTGATGATTTGCTAGGTTCAGAAGCAACTGGATAGAGTAACTAAGAACTGGCAATGTGAAAATTCTTGTTCTTCAAGATGATGCAAGTTGTGCTGGTGGTTTTCTGATTATCTAAATCCTGCCACCAGACCAAACACCAAATGCATCATCTGATGTCATGGGCAGGTACTCCTGCCTAGCTGTTAGGATGTCATTTGGAAGTTGGATCCTTTGAGGCTGAAATGTGTTAGCACCTAAGCTGAGTAAGGGAGGTGGTAGCGTATGCGTTCAGACCCAAATGTTGTGGAGATCTTGGTTTTGCAATATGCTGACCTTAACATCAGAGTCCTAATGTCAGGAAGTTTGTAAGTAAAGCCTATGTAATAAATAACGCAGTAATTAAGTATGTTCTTAAGGTTCAACATTGCTGTAAAAAACAAAGTTACTACAATCCTTTGATCTACTTCAGATGGAATTAAAACACAGACTATGGTAGTAGTCTTGATACATAGTTCTGTATTTGCCCTCATCTGGAGTATTTTTGTTAGTAGAAAACCACTTTGTAGTCTAAACTCACTTTGAATTTTTATGAATGAAAGAGATGACAGGAGGGAGCTTTACTCTGAGGATGAAGCAAGCATCTTTGAAGCCAGTGATGTCCTGGTGTTAAGCACTTCTAAATGCATGCTCAAAACCTTCCCTCTTTCACAGCTTCCAGTTGAAGATGATATTGATCTCAGTGATGTGGATCTGGATGACTGGGATAAAGATGAGCTGTGAGATCTTCAGGAAACTTCTTTTTTTGGGAGAGTTTGCGCAGCAGTTTGCAACCTGGCTCACAACCATGGATATTCCAGTGGCCTTTTTATGGAGAAATAGCACGTGACACACTGTGCGATTTGATGCACTGCAGCAGTGAACTGTACGCATCTCAAGAAAACATTGCAGAAATTCTATGAATTGTCATAACCAGTAAACTTGATTGTATTCTGTGTAACAAATATTTTGAGCACAACATGGATATTTCTTTAGAACATCTTGGGTTTTATTTTGTTGATAGTGTGCTGTTTGAGTGTTACTGGAGGCTGTTAGTGTAACCAATTTTAAATGTGTGGGGTTTTTTTTTATGGAGGTGGAACCTGGTCAGCTTCTGTTTCAATTAAAGAATAAAACAAAATATTTTTGACACACAGTGTTAGTCTTCTGTAGAGTAACAAAGGTGCACATGATAAAAGCTATCCCATTTTGGATGACTCTTGAAAAATGAACTGCAGACTAGAGGGGCTGGTGCAGAGGGGAGTCCCAAACCACCCCTTTGCTGTCAGTGAACTTGACAGTTTGGCCTAAAGCCTGATTAGATAGACAATCTTAGTTTAAATGCTTTTTAGTCTTCCTTTTCCTATTCCTTCTCAGGGGCTTTCTCTTTCCTTGTGCCAGACTTCATAACATCGTTAATACAAAGGAAGCGGGGTTGCTGCTGCAATGGGAGACACTCAGAGATGTTGGTTTCTTCTCCAGGATTAGTGATGAAGCTAATCCCTATTTTAGGGCATGAGGATTTCTGGGTGCTAACAGAAAAACACCACGCTGCTGTTTTCAGCAAATTGGGTAATGCTTCTGGCATTGTTCTGACTTGAAATGGGTGTTTCCTTGGAAGGGAAATCAGGACTGGGAAGGGGGATGGTTACTGCTGCTTTTTTAATAAAAATACTATTCCCTTTTGTTGCTCTCCATGTCTTGTGTATTGGTGTCTAGTGAAGTGACCCTCATGTGATCAGTTAAGGAATGAAAGAACTGAAAGTTTCCCCTCCTTTCAAGGAAATAACTGGCTATGGCTATTTGTCAGTTAGTGTCTGTAGGAGATGGCCCGTGGCTCCTCCCTGGGAAAGGCAGCGTAAGAACCATGTGTAGCCACTGGGAACTTCACTGCTGATTTGGTGCAGGAAACGTGCCCCAACTCTGAAGTTGTCCCAGCAGATGAGATCTAATGGAACTGTTCGAACTGAAATGTCTTGGCAAAAACTAAACTTAGGAGTACTTGGGACTGTAAGTCACGCTACAGCAAGTTCCACAGCAATTTTGAGGATCTTTCTTAAGCTTTTGTTTTTTTAAATTAAAACTTTGGGTTTTGCTCTGATGCTTTCTTCTTCTGTTGCGTTGGGTTTTTTTTAGTTTGCTTCGTTAGAAAAACAGGACTGTATACACCTAGTAGATCCATTAGCCACTACACTTTTTAAATTGTTTTATTTCAAGTCCAATAGATATTCCATCTTTTTGTAACTTACCAAAAAAAATAAATACTACCATAGTACCTCCTGCCTCTGAAATATGTTTTTGTAAAACTCTGAATGAGAGAGATTTATATTGAAGTCACTGTAAAAATTACTGGAAGTGATAGGAAGATTTTATGCAATTACCCTGCTACAGCACCTGCAGCTAAAGATTGTTTTACTGTAACATCAGGATCTTGAAAATTAATAGATGAAGCTTGAGCCATTTTTCTTTAACTGCAGTCAAGAAGACTGAGGTCAATCTTGAAATAGACATAAGGATAGTATTCTTGATTACTCAGTTGCAAACCAGGGATGTCCATGCCAGGCTGCAAAAGGAAACAAGGTGACTTTAGTACCAGCAAACAAACTGTTGCGCAGTTCCAAGCTACCGGGGATTGCTTTTGTGCTCCTCTTCCGGAGGTGGAATGGAGTTTTGTATTTGCTGTGCTTCAGATGGGAATTCGTCACTGAGAATGTGGTGTTTGCCTGCTGTTGTCAGGCTGCCTAATGCAGTTAGCATGGAGAATTCATGCTTGGCTGCAACTTTATGAATGCATACTGTAGCATTTTTGTGTGCTTCAGCTCTGGAGAAACTCCTTTCTCCTCCCTTCATGCACTGGGCATCTTAGGCTTGCTGGTTTTAGGCTGTTTTAACACCTATGGGTTTATCCTAATTGTTTATCCTCAATTGTTTGTGCATTCAAGATACAGAGAGGGAGAAAGCAAGTACTGCTGCTTGCTGAAGGCATAGGTTGAGGTGTTCAGTCAATGGCAACCTTTTACAGGGGATGGAGGTGTCACAGTGCTAGCATTTAGTTCTGAATTAATTTTTCTTACTTGTGTTGACCTGAATGTTTTCTGTAGAAGACTTGAAGGGTTTTACCTAAAGGAACTGCCATAATTGAGCAGGCCTGTTTCAGTCTGGTAGCTGTAAACATCAGATGCTTCAACAGAAAATGTCAGCAATCTCTCTGTATCTCCATCGTAATCTGAGCCTACCTCTCCCCCTAATCCAATCTGTAACCACCAGGGATTAGAGCTGCATCCAGGCAGCAAGATGCGAGGAGATACATGCTCTAGCCCCTGGACGGTGAAAGTGTTTATGTGGCTGAGCTGAGACAAGCTACAGCATGTGCACTTGCAGTCCGGATACATACATCCATTATACTTGCTGCTGCAACTTCATCCAGGTGTTTGAAGACCACATTTAGGACGTCCCTCAGGCGTTTTACAGACTTCCTATTTGGCTGCAGCAGCATTGCTTGGAAATTCACTGGGAGGCCATACCTTGAAACACATCAACATACACGATCATCTGCTAGGAAAGGGCACACCTTTCTGCTCCTGCCCTTCTCCCTCCTCCATCTCCTGGCACGCTAGCTGATGGTGCATTGCAGAAACAATCTTAGTGGTGGTCTGCTGCCTCCTTACCTGAAAGCATTTTTGTTTTGAAGCTCAAAGTCAACTAAACTGTGTCTTCCTCTTTTCCACTTCCCTGTAAGTGCCCCCAAAGAACTGTTTTTCATCAACTTTGTATGTCACCTTTTTTGTGGTCATCTGTATTGTTTCCTGTGAGCCCTAGGAACAAGGTGTGTAGGGGATGTTCCCTCCCACAAAGGAACTGCCCCACGAAGCAAGCTGTACGTTTTGACTTCTACAGGAATCTCTGTCGGCACGGCATGTTTACCCACTTACCTCAGGACAGATTCCACGAAAACTCTCAAGGCTTTCACATGAATCCAAGCCACAAATGCTTCACTGAAGTTCACTTTCAGCCAGCGCAGTAACGGGCCCTGTGAGAAGACACACAACAGTATTGTGATCCCCTCGCTGTGGGAAGCAGCTCCATAGCTAACACCACTGAAGTCATCGTGGGCTGCTGAGAGAATTCTCAGGCAGCCTGTTAGTCACTCCCAGCTTTCCAGAAACTCAAGTAACCTTGGGCAAATTGTGTTATCTACCCTGTGCCTCAGTTTTCTGGGCTAAATGGAGCTCAGAGGAGTCTGTTGAAACCATAAAGCCATTTTTGAGTGAGAGGTGCTCAGGCACTCCAGTAGCAAAGGCTGTCATTATGTGGGCCATCGACTTGATTTGCTACTTACATATTGTTGTTTCTTATCAGAAGCTAATTTCATCAGTTCTTCCTTTTCACATTTCAGTTCCTTCTCATCAAAATAAAATTCTCGAACCATGAACCTACAATTGAACGACATTTGCTCTCAGAAGCCATAGTCCAGGCAATGTGCACCCTCATTTCCTTTGCCTCTGGAGAAGCAGGTACAGGATGTTTCAAAGCTGCTAGCCATTTAACCAGGTAAAGTATGCAGAGGGTGGGAGTTGTAGTCACCCCCAGAAAGCAAGCTTCCTGCTGTCAGTAGCATGACAGCAGGAAGGGCAATTCCAGGATCTGTAGTTTGGTGCTTAAAGAACAGCATCACTGGATCTGCTGCCATAGCTCCTTCCCACCCTGCCTTCTCAGTGGCTTTAGGGCCAGCAGCAGCCCAAACAGTACAGAAGTCCTAAAACCCAGTGACGGATTCAGCTGTACTGCACACAGAACAAGCCTCACCTTATCCTCATCACTGTTTGCTAGCCTGCCCTGCCTAGCAATCAGTGCTTCTTACCTGTTCTCCCTGGCTTTCACCTTGAAGTCATCCATCACTTTTCTAAATAGGGTCACGGTGAAGAGTCCTCCCTCTGCATCCTCAGCAATCATTCTGCAGGAGAGAAATCCACTGCTGTGATTTGACCTGCCAAATGCCTTTTTTATGTTCCTCTTTTGCAGTTCTTTATTTCATTTATGACACTGAACAACACCCTGCTTTTCAAGAACTGCTGTGACTGAAATAGGGAACAAAGACTTTACTAGCACTGGCCATGCTATCTCCAATATAAAACTTCCACAAGTTAAGTTCATGAACCTATCGTAGTACACACACATTCTGACTGCCTGATTTTTTTGTGTTTCCTGGTAACGTTCCCTGACTTTCCCTGCACTTGTGTTTTTGAGACAAGCAGTAGCAAACAGCTTGCTTCCTTCTCTGTGCTTTCTGTTTCTTCCATTTCAGATAACAGCACTGTCACCTCTTGTGCCCTGGATTGGACCTCATGGTCTGTGTGAGCTAAGCAGTGGAATATTTAATTCCTAGGAAGGATTTTTTACTCTAGATGAAAGGGTAAGTTAATATGGCGTTTGCTAATGCAAATGACAGTACACTGAATTATCCTATTCTACAGCAGGAAGCAATTAAAGATGCAAAGATAGTGTTTGATCTTTGTAAAAAGTAGTTTCCATAAAGTTGTATGTGATTGCCTGTGTCTGAATTATGCCTGGATTATTGTAACAAATTGTTTGTTTTAGACAAAAAGCAAAGGCCATGGTTGAAAGTAGAAAGAACTACAACACTGGAAAATGGAACAACAGGCTAATTGTAAAAAAAACAGTGATGATTTTTTTTTCTTTCATCTGCATTTCCCTTCAACAGAGATTTCAATGGAGAATGAGATAGGGCAAATCTATATGTTAACATGGAGCCCAGGCGTTAGACAAGTGATTTCTTCCAGGATCCAGCAATTTGAAGAGCTGAAATATGTCAGGGATCTCTGAAAGAAACAGGGACCTTAATCTGGAATTTCACTTACTTGGTGGAGCGAGGCACTACCATATCGGACAGGGATTCATAGGTCTTCTGCCACTGTACGTAGCTTGACCTTTGAGCAACACAAAACAAAGCACAGTAAATAAATACTATATACTAGAAAGCAAATGTGTTGATAAATATAGTTAATTAAGCTAACGGCTTAGGGTAGAAGGGTTGGAGCTCTTTGTGCTGGGTTATGTGATTAAGATACATTAAACCTCTCCTATCCTTTCCTCTCCTAGTCACCAGCTACAGAGATGTTTCCCTCAACTCTGCACCCTCAATCCTCACTTTGGGTCTTGGCATGAGGAAGGGCCCAGAGCAGGAAGCTGATGGTGGAAGAACGTGGCTTTTGGCACATACTTTCAGGCTGCCACACAACGTCCCACATTCCAGGACCTCTGCACAAGCTGTCCCTGATCTGTGGGTAGGTGTGGTACATCTCCTATGTGCAAGCCCAGATCTGATCTGGTGCTACACTGCAAACGTGGCAAGTGCCAGCACTGGAAGAAAGGGGTCAAGGGGATGGCAAGAGTTTGCAAAGCGAGAAGTCTGTTTATAGGGGGAATCTGAAAAATTGTGCATATAATAAACTCAATAAACTTACCTCAGATAGATAGCTTTTTGGTACGCTGTGTGTGTGTTGGGACAGGGCTATACGGAGAAGAAAAGTTTTGCATAGGCTTCTGAGAAGGACATCATGTAACTTCACAACTGACGGTGATGGCAGTCAACCTACATGCAGGCCCTTACAAATACATGGCTAGCAGAGGCCTTGTGAGTTTGACAGGTCTAATTCCTTTTATAAACTGCCTAAGCTCCAGTAGGAATCTGTTTTTCTCTTTTTTTCACTTGTACTATTCCTACCAGGAGGCTGTTTGAGAACCCACTCTGTAACCATTAAAAACCTACATCTCGATTCTGTCCCGCTCTGAGTTCAGAGCAGTCTTTGCCTCTTTCTTTTGTGCCAGCACCACCCTTGGCAGAAACTATTCTTTCCTCTTTTCTAACAGCTCCACCCGTGCCCCAGCCATGGCACTGACGAACTGCCCCAACCCAACCCAGTATTGCCTGGATCCGGTGCTTAGGCCTGAGACTCAATGCCACACGGAGTGCCTGTGCACACACTATTGCCTTACTTTGGCACCACGACGAGCAGCGTGATAAGATACTCGGAATTCAGAACAAAGTCTTCTTTATGCACAATGTCTGCTAGGGTCCGAGTCAGCAGATTTCCCCTACGGTGAAGAAGACAAAGAAAAAATAATGCTAGCAGGAACGCAGCAGCAGCACACTGGAGGTATTGTGCTGTGGGTATAGTGGCTAACAGTGTGTACTGGGCTGGAAGAAAGCCAGGAAGGAGGTGGCTAAAGGAACGTCTACACTTTTAAAATGTCCATTTAGTTATTTTTACTGCAACTGAAAAAATAAAAAAGCAACTAATACTAATGGCAGAATATTGGTGACTAGCACTAGGCTAGTTTATGCCCTTTATGTGAAATTACACCATTCTGCTGCTATTGTTTCTACAGTAGATGCGTGGGAAGTGCACATCTGAAGTTACCACCCTGCTCCCAGTCATTGCTGCATCTTGCGGGAGGCACCTGCTTTCTCCAGTTGCCTGTTGAGCTGCCTGCGTGACCATGCTTCAGTCACAGCAAACAGTGTCACTGTGGACCTAAGCCATCGAAGCAACCCTGGCATACCTGGCGTGCCATGGACAAGCACACGGAGATACCTCCAGCTGAAGGACAGTGGGAGCAGCAGTCTCCTGCACAGGTGGCACCTGCAGGAGGGGGTCTCTTCACAATCTAAGCCCACTTGATTAATTTAAATCCCACTAGTGCTGCACACCAAGGAAGTGTAGATGGCTGGGGCTAGCTGGGAGGCACTCGTGCATGGGAAGAGAGCAGCCGCCCTCCCTGTCACTGGGCAGGAGTGAAGAAGGACCTAAACCAGTAGTTCTTGGTTTGAGGTTTGCTGTGCCAGTCTAAGCATTAATTAACTGGCCAGTAACATCTGTTCAACCCAAGCTAGCTGGCACTGGTAGACACCAGAGATGCCAGCATTTACAGATGGACAGGACAGTGAGAGGAAGGTAGGTCTGGATTATGAGGTCTCTGTTTTTCTCCCTCATCACCTTCCTGAAGGCCTGGCACTGCTCATGTTCCCCATACAGAGCTTCTGCCTCTGTCCGGGTGCTTAAAGCTGACATGGAAGTTGGAGAGATTCTGCAGGAGTGTCCTGGAAATATGAACAGTGCCAAGAAAAGGGAAATGGGAGCTAATGTCCCCTTGTCCCTCCCACCCATGATTATCCACATGCATGCAGCCTGAGACAAATGTGTCTAACATTGTCTGTACCAAGCTGGAAGCACAGGCCAGTGGTGCTGGCTGGCGGTGGTGAGGCATGGACACAGGAACTCAGCAGAGGGAGGGGGAGATGTAACTGGGATATGGCTCTGCTGACCCTCGTGGGCACTGCAGTTCGCATGCTGAGCAGGTCTCCATGAGGGATAGCAGGTTTTTGACAACCTCATTCTGAACCACCACCTGGAAGTATTTTTTCTGTGGTTTCTCGTTGGGTTCAGTGGAGTTGGTGCCAGGCATGCTCATTTTAGCTCCACATTCAGAACAAAATTCTAACAACCCTGGAGTTTGTTTTGAGCCCCTGTGAGTATCTTCCTTGGATAGAGGCTGGTTTCTAGGCAGGCTGCCAGCCTGGCTGGCTGCAGTGCCAGGAAGACAAGGACCTGTGTCCTGTGCCTAGACCAAGGGGTCTGAGTAGGAAAGACTGGCACACATGAGCATGTGTTGGGCAAAGGCTTGCACAGCATCATCTAAGTTGCTTTAAATTTATGACTTACTGGAATTTACTATTCTCCCCAGTGATACCCTGGAAAAAAATCCAGGTGTCAGCACTGACATAGGTAAAGACCATAAGTAGTTGAAGACAGAAGAGAGAACATTTGGCAAGCCCTGACAGGGCATTACCTGGACCAACAGAATGAAACAAAGAAAAGAAAAATGTAAGTGGGATGCTGGTGAGGTGAGGCAACAAGCAAGACAGAGCTGTTTCCCATGGGAGCTCTGAAAATGCCCTTCAGAACACAGGAAACAGCTCTGTCTTGCAAAGGAATCCACCAGTTGACCCAGCTCATCTAATTTCTGACTCCCTGAAATCTCATCAGAACAATACAGTGCATTTGGTTTTGACTCTTTCCAAGACTGTCTGCTCACACTGCCAATAAAATCCTATTAGGAACTGCAGCCTCCCCAAGCTGATTTTGAGACATGCTGATCACACCAGGTCCCCCGCTGGCTTTCTCTGGGTCTGTAGATGCTCAGCATGCCCCAAAGCCAGAGAAATTTGTTGCCACCAGAACACACATGGCCCACCGCACAGCAATGGGTGTGAGCACGCACTGTCCTCAGTTCAGCCACGCAGCGTTCCAGATGCAAACAGGCATGTGCTATACTTACACAGTTTTTTTCTCCAGGCTTTGCAAATTTCCTTTAATGTTGTTGTATGCAGCTGATCGGGTCTTTAGGTCTGTTTCTATTTGAGTCACTTGCTAAAAGAAAGTAAAAAAAGTGAGTCAACTCAGTGCTTGAGGCACTGTCCTCACCCCCTCCCTTTGCTACCTCTGCACCTCCACGTAAGGGCATAGCTGTCAGCCCCTCAAAAAACCACCGGCTTCTGGACAAGAGGGAGCTGGTGTCAGAGCCCCCCTTTGCAGAAAGTAGGATTCAGTTAGCTGTTGCTGTCTGTGTAACAGCTGTACCTAAGGAGCAAGTTCACAGTTTGATTTGTTATCTATATTGAACAACACATCACGCCTTTGTGAATGGACTGACAGCGTAAATAATTCATCCAGCCTGCAATGCATTTGATTTAACGTCAGGCCAACAATTTCACAAAAGAACTCCAAAATGCAGAATAATATAGCAGTATATAAAAACAATAAAAGATTACAATGAAGGGGATTAAAGTGCAGAAAGCTTGTCAATGTACTCTAGTAAATCTGATAAAGTGCCATATACTTACAGACTGGATAGGTTTATTATTATTACAGACCATTATTATTACAGCAGAATTTAAAATAATACCAACTGCTTCAGTACAAAGCATGTGCTTCTGAGCCTGTTCCTGCCCAAACCAAAGGCAAAGCTCTCACTGACTGCTGTGAGAGGAGGGACCAAAAACTGCCAAAAGACATGCTTCCTCATGCTGACATCTCTTAAAATTTGTAGTACAACTTACCTTTGCTAATGCTTCAGATATATTCTTCAGCGGCTGCTTTATGGGATATTTGGCCATGTCCCACTCAAACTGTGTCAGGTAGCTAATTAGGTCAACTGAAAATGCAAAGAGATGCATGAAAGCAGATAGCTTAAGAGAAGGCAGGTCAAAGTTTGGGTGGTAGTCCCCAGCTACAACCTAGGCATAACTTTGATTAACATTAGAGACAGGAGTGAACCAGAAGCCGACCTCCGAATCCTCATAGAAATTTGATCTAGATCAAATCCGCACAGATCATATGCCCAATCCAATCATCTTTCTAAACATCCCCCTTAGAAGTTGAACCAGAAATCTTTTCTGCATTACACCTAGCAATATAGAACAAGCATTACTGTAAAATTAGCTGTATCAGCAGGACACAGCAATGTGTAACCATTCTTCTTTATAGTAGAAATAGCTTCATGTAACCCCAACCTTATCGCAAGATGCCTGAATTTAATCCCAGTGAGAGCTATCAGAAAAATAGTTTTCACCCAGGACCAGCAATAACACTCAGGGTTGTTGAGAGTCTGATCAAAGGTATTAAGAACGTAGCTGCTGTCACTTCTCTGTGATTCAGTCAAGAACTCACTAGAAATCAAACAAATTCAGGTGTGATGAGGAATTCCTTATTGACTTTGTGCACAGAGCTCCCCATCTTGCACAAAGCTATATGGTATTTCTCTAAATGGATAAATCCAGTCACAGCATCCAACAACAGAAATTCACAACAAGGTACCTGTGCATGCAGCCCCCCCAAAACAAGGCACCCTCAGACCACAGGGAGCTACAGCTTCTTCCCAGAGTAGAGGAGAGATGACACAGACGACACTCAGCTCCTAGAAGAGGATCATGCTGTTTCACTCTGTTTGCAGACCAAGGCTCCTTAACATTAGAAAACATTAAGGCTTGGTACATTATGGTACCAAACAAAGAATTCTCGTCTAGCAGCTCATGAAATCAGACAGCTCTTTGCCCGAGTCCCGAGAGCCCTTAGGATGCCAAACACACCCCTACGTAGCGTTCTTTGGCAACTTTATGGGATGGAATAAAGTCACGCATCCTGCCACAACAAGCAGAGGGGCTGGGACTGTCACCTGGCAGGTTAGGGAGGCCAGAGGAAGGCAGCAGGCAGGGTATCAATGTCTAGACAAAGAGGCAATGTCACCTGCAAGGTGGGCTTCCTTCCAGACCAGGAGGGTAAACATGGAGAATATCTGGGAAGTTGCTCTGGGCAGATGAGGAGCAAAACAAGCTCAAGGTGCCAAGTAAAAGGAGGGGCATGCTGGGGCCATTCAGTGTTCTTTGCTGCCTTGTCCAGAGAGTTAATTCAGTTCCACAGGGAGGTTCGAACACAGTTTCTCATGGGCTGGACTTCCAGGCTGTGGGGAAAACTTTATGAACTGAGATGCATGAGAAGTAATGTGAAAAGTTGTGTAATTGCCATACTACCAGGCTGAGGGTACTACCCTGTCTTGTGTGATACCGAATACCCTTGGCAGGAGAGCACTAGCCTTTCCATGGACTTGTCTCGCCCCACAACAGAGTCAGTTTACCCTATTATATTTCCAAACCATGGAAAGTCTCACGTTAGGAGGAAACAGGGTTCTTAGCAAGGGATAAACTGCCTGGGAGGCAGAGAGCACTGGCATGATGGTGTTCTCCCCTTCTTTCTAAAACCACAGCTGTGTAAAATTTCCCCACATCCAATGGACAGAAGTCACAAGGCAAAAATCCAACCCTTCCTGCTCAGGTCGGATCGGGAATCAGCAAATTCTCCCGCACAGGGAGGGTGCAGAAAGGGGGCAAAACTGCAGTAGACAGGGAGGGCTATCACCCGGCTCCTGTGTGTGCAGCTCTCCAGCAGTGCTTGCTCGTGGTCTATGGGGGGGGAAGGCAGGGAGGTCAAAAATACCTGAGCAACAAAGTTCATAGAACATTTCAACACAGGGTACGCGACACAAGGATTTCATCTTACTGCCTCTCTTCCAAGCTTTCTTGCTTAGGCTTTGGTAAATTCAATGAGAATGAAACCGGCAAAGAGCGTGGTATTACTGGGCAGTGCGGAGGAAGAGTGTATTCACAGGCTCTTTAAAGACAGACACTGACCTTTTTATAGCTGAGGAGATATGAAAGTTCCCTGAAGACCTACACATGCCTTTTTTATCCTCACATTCCTTGAATCTCAGCAGAATTCAAAGGGTAGGCAGTTAAGCACAGCATGAGTTCACAGCCCATTTTACAAGTTCACTCCTGAGCAGAGCTCTGGCACTGGTGCAGTTTAGTTAAGCAGCCTGATCTTGGGGATGGCACAAACTACCGTGAACACACTAACAGAACTGAGCTTAAAATGCCAAGCAGTCCAAGCACCCTGATGCTCCTGGAATGGCACCTCTCGTTTATGGAACCTGTCAAGTCACTTCTAAAAGACTTCACGTAGCTGCCCATCCAGGAGAGGTGCTTCCTACCTACCCCAACGCGCTCACAGCTACGCAGGGATCCCACAGCCTGAATCTCTCATAACTAATTTACTCACCCAGCTCTAAGAGGCAATGTTAAATACTTCCCTTTCAAAATACTTAATTCTTCAAAATTGTTATGCTTCCCATTTTGCTTTGTTTAGAGCTCATTATAAAGAATGGAGTTATTCCACCACTTACCAAATTTTAAAATTTGTTTGGGTTTAACATTACTAGAAATGGAAGAGAATTTGGTCCAAATCTTTGAAGAAAAGCTTTATTTACATTTCACATTTTTTATTCTGTCATAAGCAAGAAAGCATTTCCTGCTGTCGTGATATACTGAAATTCCCTTTATTACACAAACACCCATTTCCGTCTATAAGAGAGACATCTCCACGTGGCTGTTTCCAACTGTTGCCCACTGGAAAGTAGTGTGTGTGTTCACTTCACTAAAAGTGCTGTATTTTCTAGTACTTTGCACTTTTCTTCACACAAATCTAACCAAACAATTGTTACACACACAGCCACCATCTTTATCTGTTCATGGACCAAACTTCTGTCAGGATTATATACAGCTGAGCTAAAAATCAGAAAACTTGTATAGTGCAGCTTAAAACAAAATTGGAGTTGGGACAGTCAAAGAGTCTGAAATGGGACCATGGAGCAAGAAGTCATGTCTAATAATTTTGTTTCTGATTTCACAACCTCGAGGAAGCCTTCAACTTTAGGGTCCTTTTGCTAACCAGAAAGGGGAGGAAGAAGAATTCATACAGCAAAGTTGCTGCTGCTTATGAAGAATGACACTGGAATATATATGGGGAATCCTCATATTCTAAAGCTGACTCAATTTCTTAAGATGCAGTCAATAATCTTGGAAAGGTTAAGGTCTTAGTTTAACATGATTTGTTTGGATGACCAAATGCAGACAGAGGACAGAAATTAGTAACACATACGAGTAATTACCACATCCTTCTATTACAACACATGCAGAGCTGATAGGAAAGGAAAATGGTATAAAAAGAGGAAACAAATGAAATAAGTGAAACTTGTTGTTTCTCAAGTCATAGGGATATCGTGATCAAGCTACGAGGTTGTTACTTGAGAAATCCATCGTAACCTGATCACTGTATCTCTACAACCAGACCAAGACTTGTCTCTAGCACTAATACACACAAATGCATGCTTGTAACAACACCGCAATCATCAATCCCCAACATACTTTTGAGACATTTCATTTTATCCTTTAGCCCTGAAACACAGTAAGCGGGATTATTGTACTTGTCAAGCATTTGCACGCATCAAATGTCAGTCTTATGTCATGCAATGAGAACATTTCTGAAAGAACTTCTTCCCCATCCTTTACTCATACAGATCTGAAGTACAACATTGCAGACAGTCAAAGGGTGATGGAGTGTGCACTCTTTGTTTAAAAGCGTCATTCTACAATCTTGTAATTAGCATGTGTAACACATCCAATTTTGTTGTATTTTTCCAGGATAGCTGGGGACAAATTTGCTCTGAAACACACCCAGGGTCTAATGAAACATGTGGAGATTTAGGAGCCATCATTTTCTAAACGCTAATTTTGTCCTTGACACAGGCTCCCCTTAGGGCCTTGAGTACCATACTAGATAATAAAGTGGGAAAATTAGTTCATGGAGGTTATTAAAACACCACATTGACTACTTAGAGATGATGTATGGCAGCATACAGTAAGGTAGTGGGCTCCCACAGCCCTTCGGCATGTCAAAAGTGCCCCTGCTGTCACTGCCTGCTCTTCTTCTCTGCCACATGACTGCTGCCAGCCAGGGCAGGGCACTGCTGGAGAGCATCTCCTCCCAACAGCAGCCACATGTGCATGTCCTGCCGGCCCCTGGCACAACCTGGTGACTGTAGCCCTGGCTCCATGCTTTGGACCTGTTGCCTCACATGTCCACCTGTGATGTCAGAAATCCACAGTTAACAACGTGACCTAACCCAGCCCTGTAGGAGGGAAGGCAAATGACTAAACTTCACTGACAGATGTCATGCAGCCATACAGAATGAGATTTAGCTGTCTGTAAGAAACCAAGCCCATATGGGGCACAGAAAGGTGCTAGGTCATTTTAGGAGTGAAGAAGGATGTCTCCTGCTTTCCTCTTCACTCCTCAGCTCCAGTGTTAGAAACTAGTTCAGTACTAGATGCTGAACACTGTCCTGGAAGCAAAGCTAGTGCTGGATAAAGTTTCTGCTAACTTTGAGAAAAATGGGAGCAGGCTAGATGTGTTCTTAAAAAATGTTGCTGATGGCTGTCCTTTCTAATGTGTGAGTGTTTCAATTCCACATGTTCATATTCTGCAGCAAATGAAGGCAGCATCCATGCATTGAAAAAACCACATTCACAGCACCTACCTCCATTGGCCAGAAGATTTTCCTGGACTTTATCTTTTGAGTCCTCCATAACTTCTCCTATGTACTGGGCTATTTTCTTTATTATGCTTAAGTGTAACAAGAGAAGCCTTGTTAGTGGAGAAACAAGATTAATATAAAATAGTTGCCAAAATGATCCCATAAACATGCCCAAACAAAACACTTCTGAAGCAAGGCAGGTTAATTTGCAATTCATATGATGATAAACAATCTATGGCATATTGCAGAACTAAATGCCTTATTTCTAAATACACTGATCTCTGCAAACATATAGGTAATATCATCTCCCCAGTGCTCTAGACTTCCAGGTCAAGATTCAGTCTTCTGTACACTCATGATATTCATAGCAGACACCAGAAGGCAAGAAACCCATGTTTAAAACTCCAAAGGTGATGGAGGAACAAGAGGTTACATACAGACAACATTGGCTGAAAATCTGTTCCATGGGATGCTAAATAAATCCTTAGGGCTTGCTGGATAAGGTTTTTACAAAGTACTCAGGGGAAAATGACAATGCTGTCTTGTTTGACAGGGAGAATTTCCTTCTTATTCCTCTTCTTTAGGGAACTCTCACTCTTCTCTTCAGCATGGTGGACAAGACACTTCTTTAAGGTGTGGGAGAATTAGATTCAAATCCTCCTTCTGCCCGATTCAGAGCAGTGATCTGAACAAAGCCCCTCCTGGAGAACATTGTCTCCACACAGCTACTTATGCTTTGCTTATTTTAAAATATGGATTCATATCAAGTGCCCCCAGCAGTAGATCCCCTGGCTCCATCTCATAGTATCTATCTCATACAGGCCAAGAGCCTTCCTGGTTGTTCTAGTATCCTTCTGTACTCAGAAATATTCACAGATTTTGGCCTTCAGTTCCCTAACCATTCCAGGTTGATTACACCTTGTGGGGAAAAAAAAAAAAGCAACAGCTAAAAAATAACTGCCTGATCATGAAATCGGCAGAGACACGAAGTGGATATAATCCTTGGCGTGGTGACTGGGAGTGGAGCATAACAGCAGGCTTCTTGTCCCTTTCTTCCCTTACAGAGGGGAGATTGCTACAGCTGCAGATGAGCTGGAGACTGAAAGGGCACCTACAGTGTTTGGACAATGTGTCTTGTGATATCCTGTGGCTTTCAAGAATTCAGGAAAGGGACTTCAGCCCAGGTACAGATACCATGAAAGCATCAGCGAAAAGGATTTTCTTTGATGTGCTGCAAAGCAGTTATATGGGCCATTTAAAAGCAGTAATTCAGAGAGGCAAAGATTCCCTCTATCTCCATTCTTGTGAAGAAACTCACAGTCTTTGGAAATGTTTTCCAGTCCTGTGATCGGGAGGAAAAATCTGAGACTGCTGATGCTGCCAAGAATGCAGTAGTCAGAATTCCTGCTACGGGGTCATTCAGCATGCAGAAGAGAAGACATTATTGAGGCCTTTCAGTATATAAAGGGGGCTTATAAGAAAGGTGGAGAGAGACTTTTTACCAGCGCCTGTAGTGACAGGACAAGATGCAACAGTTTTAAACTGGAAGAGGGTAGAATTAGATTGGACATAAGGAAGAAATTGTTTATGATGAGGGTGGTGAGGCACTGGAACAGGTTGCCCAGAGAAGCTGTGGATGCCCCATCCCTGGAAGTGTTTGAGGCTTTGAGCAGCCTGGTCTGGTGGAAGGTGTCCTTGCCCATAGCAGGGTGTTGGAACTAGAGGATCTTTAAAGGTCACTTCCAACCCAAACTATTCTTTTCATGGCCCTGGACAGGTGCAGTTCAGTGCCTGTAGGAGGAATTTACACCATTGTGCTCCAGTTCACATCTCTCTCTCAAGGCTGCCGCAGTTTTTCACCATCTGGCTGCAGCCATTTTGGGACCCAGGGCCCGGTCAGCATTGCTGGAGCACAACACTTGTTGCCCACACTTGGCCTGCGGAAAAGGTGCAGGGTCCACACAGCAGTTCCCCGTCAGCTGAGACCTTGCCAAGCACTTCTGCAATTTTCAGCTTGTAGACACAGCTAGGTTTTGGCTCCTTCATGATGCTCAGGGAGCCACCGGAACTTGGAACAAGACAGTACTCCAGCCCAGTTGGTAAGACCAGTATAGCAGGAGGATATAGACATTAGAGAGAAAGCAGCCAACAGGAAAGTGCATAAACCAGTAGCTTTTCTAAGGGGCCCGAGATGCTTTAGTTACCGTTGAGAGCAGCTGGCGGCTAACCTGACAGCTGGGAGACAGTTAGCTGTGGTCTCTCTCCATAGGTATAGACAGTGGGACAGGTACGTGCTGTCATGCACTCAACAGTTCTAGCTGCCCAGGTGAGGCTTGGCTGCCTTCCAGCCCACACATCCCAAGGTCCCTGCAGCAGGATACGGCCAGGATGTATGCATGTATACACCGCGCCAGAGAAATGTTCTCCAGTCCTGGCTTAGTCTCTGTGCCTTGCCTTGCATCCTGTGAAATGCAAGTGGGATTCACTCATCCAATACATTCCCCAGGCAAAGACAGAACACAGACTCTGCGCACCACTGATGTCTGGGGCAAGAGAGAGGAATCAGACCCCCGGAGGAGCCCCATCGACTATAGTGACATCCAAGAGCAAGCAGCTTCCACATCCAACCCTTAAACCTCTGCCTTTAGGTGAGATGAATCCCACCTTGAGCAAATAGCAATGCTCAAATGATATGTTATAAAAGAAGAAGGTTTCAGCTAAACTGCCTTGAAAAGTAGTAATAAAAACCTGTGAAGAGAATAACTCCATTTAGCCTATTACTATGGCTTGGAAGACTCTCACATTTTGCTTCTGAAACTGCTGTGATGTCATTACTTTAAAAAAAGAAAAATCATCTAACACTCTTTAGATGATAGTGTGTATTAAAGGGTGCCACCAGCTAGGCTTCCAAAATACTGGGGGGAGCAGAAGCCCTGCAATCTGAGGCCACTGCAGAATGCTCTGCCAACCAAGGACACAGGAGAACCCCTGGCTAAGAGAGACCAAGGGGATTGTCAGCTTGAGAGCGCTCCATGCTACCACAAGGTGACATGGAAAAACACTCCACCTCCCTGCGTAAATAAATAATAAAAGTACGTGGAAACAATAGATCCTGCAAACCCTTGCCCCTTCTCTGCTGCCCTAGCAGGAGGCAGCACTGACAGGTTTGCACTGCCTGGCTTTACTGGCAGGTGTGTTTTTTTAACAACAGTTTAGCAGGGAGCT